GACTGTCAGGCGGGACCCTTCCTACCGTGTCTTGCTGCAGACCCTCCTCCTCTCGGACTGCCCCAGGGGAATCCCTCTGGGAAGGGAGCACTGCCCCGTCAGGCTGGCTTTGGATGAACAGAGCTGGTCAGGGATAGGAAGTGGGTAGCTTCCTAGTGGAGCTCCAGGCTGTGGTCACAATCCCTCAGTTCTCAGCAGGTGCAGGGCTCAGAAGTACGAGAGCTTGGCACCTTCTAAAAGTGGCCCTGGGGGCTCCTCAAGGGACATCGTCTGGGCTCACCTCCTCTGGGCCTTCTCAGCAAGTCCTCAGAGGAGCTGCATCCTCTCCGTCCTGTCTTGCCCCTGCCCCGCCTCTCGTCTCTTGGGGCGTGCCCCGGAAACGGCCCTCTCCCAGCTGCCGCGCCTCCTCGAGCCGTGGCCCGGGCTGCTCTGGCCCTGTTAATTAGCAAGCTGCGCGCCTCGGTAGCTACATTCTAGTTCATTTCTGTTACACAATGTTTATTAAGGATCCCTGCCCTATCAGTCACTAGCTGTGTGACTTTGTGCAAGCTTTTGAGCCTCCCTGAGCCTCAGCTTATCTGAAAAAATGCCTATATTGTTTCAGTGAGGACTGAAGCTAGTTTGTGGGAAACACTTAAGAAAGTAACAGGCTTACTGTGGTTACAAGATAAGATACCTGCCGTGCGCTGAGCCACGTGGGGGACACCAAGACGCACAGTGCCTGTGCTCTGGCCTCTGAGTTCATGGTGGCCTAGGGAGGAGACTTGTTCCAACCTGGATGTTAATCAGCCTGCTTCCATCTCCAGGGAGGATGGAGCAGGTGGAGGCTTACAACTAATCCATGATGGGTTTATGTTCCTTATAAGGAGGGGCTCCCTAAAAGCGAGTGAGGATGGGTGAGGATTAGAACCGAGGTAGGCTGGGAGATGTCAGGGTCTGGAGAGTTATCAAAGTAGGCAATAGCTGCGCTTTGTCGCTAGGGCTGTACTTTGCTGTGGGTGAAAAACCAATGCTTGTTAGATAGATACGTGGATGTGTGGATATATGAAAGAATTGGTCTAGCTTGGTATGATTTAGACCTAATGTAAAGACAGTAGATGAGCTAAATTACCTCTAAAAATTCCTTCTTAGCTTGTGATTTTATTTTCCATATCTCTGTCCCTTATGCTGTGTGGTACTTCGAAATTCTAGACTGATAATTAACATGCAAGAAATTAGAAATTTAGGACCTGAATGCCTCTTCCTTGTATGTTTCATCTGCAGACCAAAAACGTTGCGAAAGCATTGACCACGTATGTTGTGAGCGCCAGCATTTCAGATACGTCCATTCAGAACTTGGCAGACCCAGTGGTTATTACTCTGCAGCATATCGAAGGAAAACAGGTACCATTTCCATTTTTGTCTCAGAATGAAAAAGCCTCAGAACCGCTCCATGATTTTCCTGTTAAAAATAATTGGCTAGTTAACAGATGGGCTTCTAAGACTTAGTGAAGATTGTCCCGTTCCAGGTAGCAGAGGTGTATTGTAATTGGGGCCTTCTAGAAATAACGCCTTAGCCTAAAGGGCTAACAGTGAGCTTCCAGCACTGTAACAGATTGACAGAGGAGTGGCTGTGGGGCAGTTGGATCTTTTGGTTGCCCCATCAATCTAAATGACATTTAATTCCGTTTATTTTTAAGTGATGCAAACAACTTCATTCAAAATAACTGAACATTTTTCTTTGAATTTCCATGAAATTCAAGCATTAAAATATGTATCAATTATCCAAAGGATTAAAACCATAGTCATATGGTATAACATAAGGTATATATTACTAAATGATCAAATTTAGCTGTGATATAAGAATGAATTAACTATTCCACTCTTTGATGCTAATGTATGTCCAGTGTGAAGTCTTAATAGCTTCCTTCATTCCCAATCTACAAGACCATATGGTACAGCATATTTTTCACAGGTCTTAATTCTAGAAGGGAAGAAGGAAGAGTGGGAGAGGGAATTTAAAAAAAATAGATACTAAATGAAATATGTTAAATGGGTAAGATCTCTTAATTCTGGCTGGGACCACAGCTCTCCAAGCATGCCCCATAACCAGTTTCTCATTGCCCTCCAGTTCCTTGGAGCTTGAGGAGCTGGTGAGTCCTCAGCAATGCTCAGTAGGCCTAATGAGAAGGCAGGTCAACCTTGTACCCATAAAGCTTGATCGCAGCTGTGAGCCCCCAGTTCCAAAGTTCCACAAGAAGTACCACCCCGCAGACCTGAACTGACCATCTGCAGCCTCCTCCTGGACTTTGCACCAGGAGAACATGGCAAATCCTTACGTCACCAAATATTTTTAAAGGACACGTACCAGATCACCACGCAGTAGTAACATGCTGTTTTCACCCTTGTGACCCCTAAGATACTTGAAACTAGACTTAAAACCAGCTCACAAATGGTTCGTGTGTATGTGTGTCTACTGTTTGAAAAAAAAACATTGAAAAGAAAACACTTGTGTGTGGCTGTCATTGTATGGTAACTATCACAAGGAAAGGTATTAACCTCTGAGTTTTTTTTTCCCCTTAGAATTACGATCAAGTTCAGTGTGCCTTTTGGGACTTTGGGAACAACAGTACGTATTTTTCTTAGCAAGCTTTGTCTTTGGCTTTCAATGAGACTTTGCCCCTGACCATTTTCCTATTTGGCAGTTAGATGAGTCGTACTGAAGCTACTGTCTTATCAGACCTTACAGGGAACTCTGAATGACCAAGATACCAATACAAATTTCATATCTAATTAAGGCATGGGAGTGTCTTATTTTTTTTAACTTTCTTTTTGAGAGGAGACTTATTTGGGAGATGAGAAAAATCACACATCAGCTAGCTGAAAGAAAGAAAATTGGAAGACCCAGTGGAGAGCAGCCTTGAGCTGTTTGAAGCAAGTTGAGGGATGAAGATTTGACTCTTTATCTGTGCTTACCCACGAGATGCGACATGGCTACTGTCTCCTTCCCTTTTTCTCTCTTCTCTTCTACACTGACCGTGTGACCTTGGGTAGTCCATTTATTCTCTAGGGGCCTTGGGGAGTCCATTTACTCTTTTTAATCTTTTCATTGAGGGGATAAGCCTTTCTGGTTGGTTTCTAAGGGCCCTTCCTGTTTGGTTAGGTATGTGTCTTTGGGGACAATAAGAGAAGGGGTCCGGGAAATGGATTGCTGAATGGGGTCCTCTTAAAATGCCATCTCCATTGGTATCTTTGGGGATATAGGCACAGCTCAGAGAATTCCTGTGCAGAATCAACTGCCCCTGGAATGCCAGGAGTGGCTTTGTGACCAGTCCTTCCACCTGTGGAAGCTCTGCCTGGGACGGTTCCTTTTTCAGTATCTTTGGAATTCTGGGAGAAAAGGGAAATCCCTTTCCCATTCAACTCGCTGCGATATGGGGATACTACTGCTTTCCTATAACAGAGCTAGCACTGTCCTTTTCTGGTCCCTTCCAAGTGGCCCAGGGTAAGATTCTCAGAAAATGATTAGCTTTGTCCCCCACAGCCTCAATAAGTTGATCTGCATTTTCATTAATGCCAGTTTCTGGGCTCCTCTCAGGTCTCCTTTTGCCCACACCCCTCTGTCCATAGGTCCAGAACTTCTGGAATCTAAGGTGTTATCCCAGATGGACAAACTTTGACCACACTTAGCTGTCTGCTCTAGGATAAGCCCTCTGGCTAGTACTACCCTGGAAATTTTACTCTAAATCTGGTCTAGTACCCAAGATCGACAGGTTATGGAGGTATGCAGGTTGGTTCTAGAACCCTGAATATGAATATGCTCAGGAGTGAGAAACTAGGCAGGTGTCAAGTAGCTCAGAGGCTTTAACTGGCCCTAAGGAGCACCAGACCATGATCTGGCTTAAGTGCAAAGCACTAGAGACCATTTGAATTCTGGGTTGAGCTCATTGTTTCAGATGTTTATTCCAGTCCCACCGAGGAAGCTCACGTGTCAGCCTATTTTCAATAGCTCATGTCCTTCAAAAAGTTCTAGATTTACCTGTTTCCTCTTCATGCTACTTGAAAAAACAGTCCTTACTTTGACATTCCATCATGATAGCAGGATTGTTGTTCATCATTCGAATCTGTCCTAATCTGTAGGAATATGGTTCAATAACAGGAAAAGTGAGAACAGAAGTTATGCCATTCATGATGTCCCCAAGAAGTCAATTTAGCCTATTAGACTTAACTTGATTTCAATATTCAATTATGCCTCTATCTTGCTGTCTTAACAAACAGTACTAATTATAGCACACGTTAAGCATTTCTTAGAAAAGCATAATTGCTTTGCAATTCCTTTCTCTCGCTTGCAGATGAGCAAGGTGGATGGAATGCGTCAGGCTGTAAAGTAAAGGAAACAAACGCAAACTACACGATCTGTCAGTGTGACCACCTCACCCATTTCGGAGTCTTAATGGTGCGTTGTCTCTTAATCAGTTCTTGATAGAATTTGGGCAACTTTTTATTAGATTACAGACCAGGAATATATGTATGAACTAAGTTATGGAAAAGTGGCATGCAAGTGGGAAAGAGCCTCCCACCTCGTTCATGCAAAGTAGAGCAGATTGAAACAAGTATTTATTTTTCTCCTTATAAAATTAATGCCTGCTTCTCAAAATTCAACCATTACAGAAAAGGTCCCTATAATCCTCCTCCCAAGAGATCACCACCTATAACATCCTTCTGTATATCCTTTCAGATTCCTTTCTTATGTGTATATTAATATATGTTTTTGTTTTATAAAAATGGGATCAAATTACTCATGCTGTTTTTACCGCTTGCTTTTCACCTAACAATATATATCGGACACCTTTCAGGTAAATACACATCCATCCACTAAAAATTTTTGAAATACTTTAATAGTATTCCATTGTGTGGATTTAATACAATGAATTTAACCAATCCCCTATTTGTAGGCATTTTAGTTGTTACTATTTTTCTCCACTATGAACAATGTGCAATACGTATTTTTATCCATTTATCTTATAACACTGGTGAAAGTATTTCTGTAGGATAAATTGATGAAAGTAGAATTGCTGGGTTAAAGGTCATTAAGATATTTAATTTTAATAGTTATTGTCAAATTGCAGTGTAGGAAAGATGTACTTTTTTAATACTTGCTATACTTAGCCAAATAAGAGTTCTCTGATTGATTTTCATATCCAGGCTCAGAGCCTCAGAGTCCTTGTTAACCCTTCCATCTCCTTCATTTCCTATGGTCCCCCATAATATTGGGACTTGATGAGTTTTCCTTCAAAATGGATCTCAAATGTGTTTCCTTCTCTACATGCCCCAAGTACTTTCTTAGCTCTCTTAAATTACTTTATCTTATATATTATATAACAGTATTTGAATGTGTTGTGTATGAATTATTTCTCCTCCTAATGGTAAGCTCCTTGAGGGGTGAGAGTCTGTTTTATATTTCTTTTTTTTTTTACCATATGTGTTCAACAAATAAGAGGTGCTCCATTGATACTTATTGAATTGTAAGATTTTGTTTACCACCCTCCAAACTGGTTAGAACATTACAGCAGGAGCCAAAAGAGCAGGGCTCACAGTCCAGCTCTGTCACTAACTGGCTATGTGATCTTGGTCAGGTTGTTTCACTTGTTTGGACCTTAGATTTATCTTCTGAAATGTGGAAGATTGGAGTAGACCAGGGTTTCTTAACCTTGGCACTATTGTTATTCTGGGCCAAATTATTCTTTGTTGTGCAGGGCTGTACTGTGTGCTGTAGGATGTTTAGCAGCATCCCTGGCCTCTACCCACTAGATGCCAGTAGCACTCTCCCTAATTGTGACAACCAAACGTCTCCAGACATTGCCGAACGTCCCTGGAGGAGGGGCAAAATTGTGCCCAGTTGAGAACTACCAGAGTGGACCAGTGCTTCTTAACCTTTTATGGGTCATGAATCGCTACCACTATCTGATGAAAGCTATGAACCTTCTTCCAAGAACAATACACACATATATTCAAATAATTTTGCATACAATTTCAGGTCTTTTATGGTCCTCAGGTTAAGAAATTACTGGTTTATGTCATCTCTAAGGTCCATTTTGTCTCTTAGTTTTATGAAAATTATTTAAGGTCTAAGGAAAAGGAACATTTTTTTTAATGTTCTGTGCAGTGTTTTGGGACGCTCAGTTCAGATAATGATTCAGTTTGCATCCCAAATTCACATCTATTAGTTTGGTTATATTTTAAGTGTGGAACATGTTAATGACAATAAAACCAAGGACTAAATGTTCTTCCAGTGCTGTTGACGGCTCTCCATGCCCTGTACACAGTAAATTACACAAGGCATGCTCAACAAAACTTATACAGTCTTATCATATATCCATCCACATACTCTGGTTCTATGAGAGCTATCACAGAGATGCTGTACATCCTGGGAACCTCCTGTTTGTGAGCACTGAAGGGTTTTACCACAAACTTGCCCTGGCGAATGTATAAAATACAGCACATTACATTCCCTAGGATTTATCCAGGTCTGCAGTGGATGCAGTGAATGAACGGATATTAGTGCTTATAACATACACTGGATGTGGAATCTCCTCCATCTTCCTGGGAGTTGCAATGGTGACATACATAGCTTTTCAGTAAGTTCATAGACTCTTGCTCTAAGTTTATTTAATTTGATGGATGCTATTATCATTGTAAACTTGTTAATTTCACAAAAAGTTCATATTCATCACAGTAAGAAGAGGTCAGATTCATTAGATTATGAAGTGGGCAGGTTAAAAAAAACAACAATCAAGGCTCCTCTGGAAAAAATATTGTAATTGGATTTTTAAAAAATCAAGAGGTTGGGGGAGGAAAAGGTTTCTCTAACAGGATACAAAACACTAACCATAGAGGAAAAAGTTGATAAATTAGACTTCATTAAAATTAAGAATTTTTTTTCATCAAAAGATATCATGAAGATAGTGAAAAAGCAAACCACAGATTGGGAGAACGTATTCACGAGGCATATATCTGACAAAAGACTTGAATGTAGAATATTAAAAAAAAAACCTCCTACAAGGCAAAAAGCAGAAACAGACAATACAACTAAAAATGGGCAGAAAACTTGAACAAGCGCCTCACAAAAGATGTCAATGCCTAGTCCTAACCCCTGCCCAAATGGCTAATAAGCATATGACAAGGTTCTCAGAATCATTGCTCATCAGAAAAATGCTAATCAAAACCATAATTATACTTCTGTGCATCCACCAGAATGGCTAAAATAAAAATACTGACAACAGCAAGGCTCAACAAGGATGTGGAACAAGAACAAGTGGCACAGACGCTTTGGAAAATTCTTTGGCGATACTTACTAAAGATAAATATCCATCTAGGTGCTGACCCAGAAATTTCACTCTTAGAGAAAACTAAGTGCTTATGTCCACCAAAAGATATATACAAGAATATTCACAGCAGCTTCATTCATGGTGGCCCCAAATCAGAAACAATCCCAATGTGCATTAACAGTTAACTGGTTGAATGGCTTGTGGTATATTCGTAAAATGGAACGCACCACAGCAGTGAAAATGAATGAACTACAGTCGACCCTTGAACAGCATGAGCTTGAACTGTGCGGGTCCACTTATATGCAGATCGTTTTCAATAGTAAATACTGTGGGACTACATGATGTGGGGCTGGTTGAATCCAAGGGTGCAGAACCTCAAATAAAGAGGAAGGATGACTATAAGTTAGATGTGGATTTTCAACTGCTCATAGGGTCCGTGCCTCTAATTCCCACATTGTTCAAGGCTCAACCGTACTTCTGTACAATATAACATAACATCTAAATCTCAGAGAGAGTTGAGCAAAGTATGTGAGAAAAAGCAAAGGATTTGCTGTGCGGTTCTTTTTATACGAAGTTCCAAGTACAGGCAAAACTAAATCTAAGGGGGTAGAAATTGGAATATTGGTTACCTCTAGTTGGGGTGGGAAACGAGTGGGAGAAGGAATGAAGGAGTCTTCTTTTTTTTTTTGAAGGAGCCTTCTGAGATGTTGAAAATATTCTACCTCTTGATCTGGGTGGAGGTTCCTCAGGTGTACTCATTTGTCAAGATTCATTGAGTTGCACTCTTAAGATTTGTGTACTTTAATATCTACCTCCATTAAGAAAAAACTCCACATATCCAAAAAGTGAAAACTGTAAACTTTAAATCAATAAACATTTCATAAAAATGAAAAAAAATCAAAGGGGAAAAATTTTTTTTTCATTTAGAAAATACTGGGTCCATTTCCACAAAGTATAATTGTGATCACTTAATGAAACTTGAGGTCTTATTTCCAAGATGCTGAATGTCTGGATCTTTGGACATACCCGAGTAACTACTTGAAATGGTTTCCATGGTCATCCTGCTATTTGGCCATATGTAGATCTAGCCTTGAGTCTGCTGAAGGAGTGATAATAGAATTGTATCCAGAAAACTCCCTCCTTCCTTCGCTCCAAAAGAGAAAAACAAAACAAAACAAGACAGGAAAAAAGAGGCTGCTTAGCTGAGAGATGCTATTACTCTGTGTGTTAGTGAAGGTCACCATATTTAGGATACTTCAACTCTACCTGGAAATAGTGTGGGGGGCTTGGAAATTCAGTGCATATACAGTAATATGAGTAAGTTAATTTTAACAGGCAGTTCTTTTATTCTTTGACGTATTATGCAGATAAAACATGGCAATGCTTGATCAAAAACAGAGACCCTACCTAACCTGACTAAACATTGTGCCTTTCCCTTTAGCAAACTGCGAAAAGATCATCCTTCCAAAATTCTGATCAACCTGTGCACAGCACTACTGATGCTAAACCTGGTGTTTCTGCTCAATTCCTGGTCATCGTCATTTCCACAAGCGGGACTTTGTATCACAGCAGCTGTGGCTCTTCACTACTTCCTGCTTGTTTCTTTGACTTGGATGGGCCTGGAGGCAGTCCACATGTATTTAGCTCTAGTCAAAGTCTTCAACATATACATTCCCAATTACATCCTTAAACTTTGTCTGGCGGGTTGGGGTAAGTATCTCTGCCATCATCCTTGATATCTCTGTTCCCTGCCTCCTGTGTCTGTCTAATTCCAGCTCCATTAGACAAAGTATTCGGGACCAAATTCTGCTATTATCATAGGTAAGGAATTAAGGATTGCCTGACTGGTGTTTGGGTGGGCATTTCTTGTTCTGCCTGTATTGTGCTATAAATTCAACTTTTAACCTCTGTTATGAGGAATTGGTCCACAAATATTTACTGAGCCCCTGCTTGTGTGCTGTGCTACAGGCTGGATCTACAGTAGTCAACCTGTCAGATTTTATCCTTCCCTTTACTGAAGTTACAATCCTAACAAATACTCATGGCTATAACAGCCGACACTGAGGTAGCACTTCCATGTGCCCAACGCTGTTCTAAGTGTCTCATTTAATCTAAGTGTCTCATACTCATATATTCTTTACAATATCTCGATGGGAAAAGTTGCATCATTATTCCCATTCAAGAGATGAGGACACTGAGGCACAGGGAGATGAGGTAATTTGCCAAAATTTACATAGCTGGTAAGTAGCAGAACTAGGCTTTGAACCAGGGAGTCTATCTCCATAGTGTGGACTTTGACCTCTATGATCTAGTTATGTTGTTTAAGGGCCAGGGAAAGGACTTGCAAGGTACGAGAGGATGCTGTCTCCAACACACCCTGATTCGCATCATGCCACATGACTGTCACCATCACTATGGCCCTTATAGAAGCCAGAAAGGAACTCAGCATGAATAGTTCCTAATTTAAATGTCATTTCATTGGCTTGCTTTCCTGTATTTCTAACTGACGTGGTCAACTCAGCTCCTCCCTTGCCTTGCCTGTTTGAAACAGATTTGGGGTTCAGAAAATGTGTTGGATCCACAGGAGATGTGTATTAAGTGGGATGGACAGAATACCCAGGCAGGGAGACTTTATCTTCCACTGCCTTTGTGAAGACAATAGCTTCCCAATTAGCTACTCATCCTTTTAATAGAGCTCATTAACAGACTACGTGCTTTCTTTGGATACACAGTGCTATTATCCATATTAGTGTGGGGAGCAGAGACAGACAAATACTAAACAAAGTGTGATTTGAAAAAATGGTTGTAGTATTCTTGGAAATCCATCAGAAACACAAAGCCAAAAGCCGACAGTACACTTCCCTCTATGCCCGGTGACCCTAGCCTCGAATCAACTGGAAGACTGAAAAATGTCATGGAAGAGGCTTCATGAATAATCCAAAAATGCAGCTAACCCACATCTGGCTAACGGCGAAGGAGCTGGAAGTAGCACTCACTCCCCGTCATCATTCATTCTCGGCTTCCTCCTCCAAGCCTTCCTCCTGCACTGGCTCCTTCCACGTTGGTATTCCAACATCCCCAAGGCTGCCTTCTGATCTCTTTGATCTTCGATTCCACACACTTGCTGGGGTGCAGGGAGAGGCGGGCAAGGCTAAGGCTTGGTACTTGGAGGCGGAAAAACACTTGGAAAGTGTCAAATACACACCCAAGCCGAAGCCAAAGCCTGACCAGCACAGCCAGTAAAGATGCAACAAGCCTCTTTCTGATTCAGTTGCTTACATATATAGACGGTGAAAAGAAGAGTAGCTAAAGGTGCCAGCTCCCGAGTCCTTGTCCCACACACTCTAAAGAATGACACCAAAACCAAAGGGAACAGATGGCTGCCTCACGATTGTGGGATTCCCTGCTATGCGGTTTTATATTGGGCAGCTCTGTTCCGAGGGGGCCGGGTGCCAAGCTCCGCACAGCCTCAGAACCTGGCAGGGGGTGGGAAAGTGTCTCATCCCAGCCACCCAGAGTACAGGGAGATGCGTAGGAGAGGACCTCGGAGCACCTCCTCGCAGGCCTGCCCCATCTTCCTTGCAGAGGGTCAAGAGGCATTCTGCCAAAATTCAGCTCAGCTGTGGTTCAAGTCTTTGCCTGCTGGGCCTCTGTAGGTACCTGCAGGGAGGACCAGGGAGCCACTGCGGAGCCAGCCTGTGACAGGGAGTTTTGGAGCCTTTCAGTATTAGACAAATCCAATCAAATGTAAGGAAAATAATTATTAGCGTCTGTTTAACGTTTGAAGTTCTGTCTCCCTAGTGCCAAAGCACCCTATTGAAAAGGTTTTATTCTTTTATTGAAATCCCTGTCCAAGGGGGTAGATTTATTTGCCCACATTTTTTAACAGCCAGTAGGGATCTTTTCTGTTTTAGTTAGCAAAGTGTAAACATAGCTTGGGGACTGTCTCACAACTCTCTTTCTAAATGCACAGACTTCATTCCTCCCTGCTGGCCTCCAACAGGTGTTTTTTTTTTTCCCACATCTACATAGCGCTGGGCACTGTGTTAGGTGTGTCGTGTGTGGATCCGAAGGGATCGTCCTGTTAATCGCAGAGTAGGACAGTGGAGGATTTTTTTCAGATTTGGCACTCTGGGGTTTGAAACTGCTTTGGAAAGTATTTTACAAAGCCCCTAAAGTACGTGCGGGTGTAATGCTCCTCGTTTAGGAGAAATACATTGCTAGGCGTAAAGAAATCATGTAAGTTTTGCAAATGTCCATGTAATTGGATTTTGAAACCCTGTGTCTATACTCACGTCACGTTTGACCACTTTGACTGAACTGATTGCTTTATTATACTCTGGCTGAATTGACTGGTCGTTAAGCGGTCGATCTAGTCAAAATGTCAAACTAGTAACGAGTGTGGCAACAGCTCCCCTGTCAGAAAAGCACTGAAGGCTGCAGCTGATTGCCTGTGCCCTTCCTCCAAGGTGACCTAGACAAAAAGATACCGGGAACTAATAGGCAGTATTGAAAGGGAGACAAATTGGCAGCCCATCATCTGAGAAGAAATGCTTTATGTGAACTTGCATTCCCACGTACTAGATACTTCTCTTGCCAAGTTGATTTCTTTTGGCACTTGTGCTATTTTTAATAACCAGTGGGTGTTGTATTGGAGCCATTGGCATGCTGTTTAGTTTAGCAGATTGGAGAACTCCTAGAAATGTTTAACTTGAAAGAATTCATAAACATTTTGCAAACAATGGTATTTTGATGTCGCACATCTGTGGCTCATTTAAACAGTGTCTTAATGTATCAGCACCCACAGTCATCGATCAGGATCTCTCCCTGCTTCCTAATGGGATGCCTTTGGCTTGCTCTCTGACTCTAGGAATCCCAGCGATCGTGGTGGCGATCATACTCAGTGTGAAAAAAGATCTGTATGGGACTCTGAGCTCAACGACTCCATTGTAAGTACCAGCATCTCTGCTTCTCAGATGGTGATGCTCCTGACCACCAGGATCTGGGGCTTGGTCTTGACCCTGACTTCAGGGAGGAAATCGTCCTCAGCCTTTTTACCCTAACACACTCATGGGCACACTGATACAATGGTTAGGTGTCTGGGCTCTGCATGACCTTGGGCAACTTTACCTCTTCCTTCCACTTCCTCCTCTGGAAAATGGGGATAATAATATTTGCTCTCAGTGTTGGGTGCAAATCAAAGTGACATCATGTGTATCAAGTGCTCAGCATGTGGCCTGTTCCATGGTAAGTGCTACGTAATTATCAACTTTTATTTATTTGTTTGTTTGTTTACTTATTACTATTTCTTGGCTGCTAAAGAGCTCTCAGATTTATTAAATGGGACTATAATAATGATGTCAATATAATGCAAGTAAACATGATAAAGCACATCTATGTTATAGACATCTGGCAGCTATTATGATTAGAAAGCTAATAGAACGTAGGAGGGGTGGCCACTATAAAGAAATACTGAAACAGGTGGGAAAACACTTCCTGTGTTTCAACAAGGGTCTCGCCTGAAGAAAACTCCACCACATTCCTTTGTAAATTGGTTCAGCTTTGTTGTCCTGTTGTTGCTTTCTTTCCTTCTTTTTCTTTTTCCTTTTTGATGTATAAGTCCATCTCTTTGGCTCTCTCACCGACAGGCATCAGAGAGTAGTAAGCCATTTACTTCGCTCCACCTCTCCAGAACCTTCTTTTACAGGCCCGTAGATAGCACATAGTCCTTCAGACTTTACAACCTCATTTCACCCTTGGGATCGTGTTTTTACTTACTCGTATCCATTCTCTGTATCGTAGCCTCTCAAGCTCTTTTTCGCTGTAGATTTCCTCTCCCACTGGGCTGGAATGCAAGGGTCTTGCCGCCCAGACTCCTCCGTCTTTCATACTGAGATGACAGTTTCCAGAGGGTCAAAATTATATTGCCCTTGCCAGCATACGCTTTCTAATTATAATTTGTTATCCTTTCTTTCTCTCCCTCTTCTCTTCCTTTCCTTCTCATCTCCTCCTCAATCCTCCCTCCTTGCCTGTTTAGTGACTTAAAGTATCCCCAATGTCTATCTAATGGCAAGTCTTCTTCGAAGATCAAAATCAAAGCAAAATCAGAACCAAATCAACTCTACTCCCCCTGAAAAGAGCCCTTTCATATGGGAATTGGTTAGTAAGAGGCAGACTGCTCTAAGAGATTTTAAAAAACTAGTTCTATTTTGAAGAAGTAAAACATGCACATGGTATAAAATCCAAAGGTACGAAAGTGTAGAGGATGAAAAGTAAGGCCCACTCCCAACGCCCAGCTCCCCAGTTTCTGCCCCTTGATGCAACTCTTTTTTTTTTTTACCAACTATTGAATTGGTGTAGATAGTCTCTTGTTATCCAAATGGTAGATGTACACTGTTTGATACTTAATATGTCCTGGAGGTGATTCTCTATCCAAACATATAGCGCTGCCTCTTTTTAAGAGTTTTCTGTAGCCCTTCCTAAGGCTGAAAATGATACTCAGGGAACCTTAAATATTAGGCTTTATTAGGGAAACTGAATGCTTCCCCACCACCCCCTCCCGACACACACAAACTCCCATCTATGAAAATATCCACACCAACGTGAACAATATGACCACAGGGATTTTCCTGGTTCTAGAAAAGAAGTCTCAGCTAAGTTGACACATGGTTAAATTAGTGAAAGCTTGTCTGTGTTCAAAAATCAGCAGTAATAACTGCAGTAATTGGAGATATTATTAGATGAATTATCTGTTCATATGAATCATTGCATATTTCTTCTTTAATAGAAATTGTAGAGCCATTACTCAGTCCAGTGGCCAGTGTTGCCTTTTGTAGTTCAAGCCTCTAGCTGTGGTGGGAGGTTGAAAATAAACATCATATTTTAAAGCAATACAGCTGGAGCTGCCCTCTTTTTGTTGCATTTTCATTAACTCTGATGAGCTAATCCTTGTTTAATAAAGCATTCAGAAAAGCCAGTCGTTGTCCCTGTCCTTTGACTGTGATATTTATCATGCAAAGCAGAATTTAGTCTGCAAATAAAAGCCACTTTGGGGGGAAATACATAATCTGTTTTTCTGCCATTGAGGAAGAGAATAGCTTCCCAGGAAGCTGGACTGAAAGATTTCTGCACATGTAAGGCAGGAATATCCTCTAGGATTTCCAGCTTGAAGCTGGGAAAAACCCTGGACTGGGGCTTAGGAGATTGGGGTTCTGGTCCCAGCTCTGCCCCCAGCGAGCAAGAGTGAACTCTGTCAAGTTGGTTTACACTCTAGGCTTAGATGTTCTCATGTGAAATGAAACTGACTCAGTGATTTTCTGAGTCTCATTAAAAATATGAGTTCAGGCAGGTGGGTATAGCTTAGTGACAGAGTGCATGCTTAGCATGCACAAGGCCCTGGGTTCAATCCCCGGTATGTCCATTAAAAATATATATATAGAGAGAGAGAGAGAGGGACTGGATAAAGAAGTTATGGTATATTTATACAATGGAATACTACTCAGGAGTAAGAAATAATAAATTAATGCCATTTGCAGCAACATGGATGGACCTGGAGATTGTCATTCTAAGTGAAGTAAACCAGAAAGAGAAAAAAAATACCATTTGATGTCATTTATATGTAGAATCTGAAAAGAAATGATACAAATGAACTTATTTACAAAACAGAAACAGACTCTCAGACATAGAAAAGAAACTTACGGTTACAGAAGAGGAAAAGGGTGGCAGAGGGATAAATTAGGAGTTTGGAATTAGCAGATGCACACTACTATACATAAAATAGATGAACAACAAAGACCTACTGTGTAGCACAGGGAACTATATTCAATATCTTGTGATAACCTATAATGAAAAAGAATATGAAAAGGAATACATGTATGTATATGCATGACTAAACTATTATGCTGTACACCAGAAATTGAGGCAACGTTGTAAACTGATTAGACTTCAATTTAAAAGGGAAAATGCAAATATATACATATATATATATATACATATATATATATATGTATATATGTATATATATATATATAAGTTTATGTTTCTCTACCTCACAACTGCCTTCTCTCCTTGGTCTCTTACAGTTGTTGGATTAAAGATGATCCTATTTTTTACATCTCAGTGGCAGCTTATTTTTGCCTCATATTTCTCATGAATCTCTCCATGTTCTGCACTGTTCTTGTTCAACTGAATTCCATGAAAACCCAAAGCCAAAAGACTCGGCGGAGGATGATCCTGCAAGACCTCAAAGGCACAACCAGCCTGACATTCTTGCTTGGCCTCACCTGGGGGTTTGCCTTTTTTGCCTGGGGACCTGTGAGGATCCTTTTCTTGTATCTTTTTGCCATTTTTAATACTTTGCAAGGTAACCATTGCTTCCCTGTACTTTCTGTGGCTAGCTAGACAGCCACCAAAATTTTTGCTGCTTTGGAAAAATCTCCCCTTTTGGGAACTCAAAGGAGGAAAAGATACTCCAAGAGGCCTCTCCTGTCAATGACTGACCGGCAGCCATTAGAAACACTGGCCAGGTGTTGGGGCTTCATTAAATGAGCCAACATGGAAGGAGAGAGTGCTATCTAAGCAGGAAGCCTGCATGGGTGGATGCAGAGTCCAACGGGAGATCTCCTGAGAACTAAAACCAAAGCCCCATAGATTCAGCATCAACAGAGCCAAGCTGTCTCTGTCAGACATGCTTTATGTCAGTCAAGCACCAAGCATTCCTAGTTCCTAGTCCCGCCTACAAGGTAGGATGTACCATCTCACAGAGAGGGTGTTTTTGGAGCTCTGAGTCTCAGACTCAAGTTACATAGACACACACACACACACAAACACACACACACACACACACACACACGAACCAATA